TTCGTCCCGGTTTGGCCGCGATAGTCCGGATTACGAGTTAAGCCTCCCGGCCGTCTCGGGCTTAGAAATAAAAAAAAAATGAATTTAATAAAATTTTGTTGCGCTCTCACCTATTAAATGTCGCGATTTTTACTAAATTATAATAGGAAAAAAATCGATGACAAAAAAAACAATCCCGGATTTTGCCGCGAACAATATGGTCACCTAAAGTTAGAATGTCAAATCATTTGATTAATAACTTGTTGACATTTTCATAATGGCATACTAATAGAAATCCTCGTCTCTATTAGCAGAAAACTGGGACAGTCGATTTTCATTTTCCAGAGGCGAATTTTTGACCAGCCATATCATGCACCATAGACAGAAATAGATGTTAATCAATTGGTTTTAGGTTCAGACTATATGGTGGAGGATTAAGAACCTCCCATCCAAGCACTCGGAGCTTCTGAGGAGTCACTATCGATGTGCGCGGCCTGGCTTTGTCCTGATGAAGCATAATTCCTCTCTTATTAACCTTCAGATAGTACAATTTTTGACACTACAGGTCCGAATTGAGATTTTTGCTCTATCTTTTCAAGAATATACATTAGAACATTTGTAATAGTATACAAATATTCTTGTATCAACCACAAAATATTTTAAATAACTCAAGCTTTTCATCCGATTTTTACATCATTGACTTGGCTCTAAATTTTATATGAAACACCCATTAATCATTTCATGCCAATTAATTACAATTTCTATGAAAATGTTTTTAGTCACACACTTGTATAGTAGGGCAAATCATATATGAACAGGATTTGGTTGTCTACACTCTTGTTAAGAACGAATATATAAGAAAGAAAAAATATGATTCGTGATGTACCAAATCCCTTCTAGTACAGATGACAAATTCCAAGACTTCAATATACAATTTATAAATATTTATTATATTTAGCATGTGGGACATATATGAATTTCCCTTATTTTCCCCATAAAATTGTTATGATCAAGCAATTAAAGGGAATTCCATGCGGAATTTAATGGAACACTAACAAACGAGAGCAAAACGGCAACACAAAGCACTTAGCGCCTACCACAACCAATATTATCAGGTAATATATGCGTATATAATGGTGTACTAATAAAAACCATAACAATGTAATTAGTAATTCAAATGAGTACTTGGCAATAAATCAAATAATTAAACAAGTGTTATGAAAGAAAACGGAACAAAATAAAAATAAAATGGATATGCAAAGAAAACATTTATTTCTGGCTATGTGTAATCTACTTATTTGCAAAATGTTTAAAGTGGGGATTCCGATTAAGCGACACACGCAAAAAACTGTGTTAAATAATTAAAAAACAACAACAATAATAGCATTGGTAATAGCTCTGCGAAATTACTCAATCAAAATAGTGACGTATTTCCATACAAAGACCATGTTGCGCTGCCATATTTTCACGCTTGTCATTTGAAGTATGCACACGGTTGATGCACAACAGTTATATTTATTTGTTTACCCGATTGTGCAAATAGTGGCGCACAGATGCCTACAACATTGCCGCATTATCTAAAGATAGACGCGCTGACAATCATCGCACAATGTTGAGGTGAGCTGTTATGAGGTGAGATGAGCGCACTAAAACGCCAGCTAATGCAACAACACGCTCGGTATTAGACAGACGGAGGGGTAATAAAAAGGCTTGTCAGCTTGTCTGATGAGTTGGACGGGCTAGACTGAGAATCAGCTGTGCAAATGCCGGCAATGGAAGCAACAAAGTTGAGAGGGCGCAATGCAATTTTGTTGCTTTTGATGTAAATATTGTTGTTGTTGATGTACATATTTTTATTGTAATTTTTGTTGCTGTAACTGTTGTTGTACATGTTTACTAGTAACTAGTTAGCATTTTGACGCTGTTGACATCTCTTGACCACACAGCGCGACTCTTTTTTTAGCTGCACACCGTCACTTGACATATTGCAGCGTCCCGCCGTTTCTTCGTAATGACAAATGCATTTTGTCTTTATAAAGAGATAATTGTGAGTGGCATGTTTTTCATATTGTTTACAATCAATTTCAACTTTTTTCGACTGTTTACGTATTCGTTTGCTGCTGAGAAGTTAAGCGAATTAAATTGTTGACAACAATTACAATCAATTGAAGTGGATATTACAATTTTTGTTTTATTTGCAAGAAGTTGGCTGGTGAAAATCACTTGAATTCGTTAGTATTTATTTAGTGGTTTGTCATGATGACCATTGCTCGGCGTGCTCTGAGACTTGTGTCAAGTTTGTTGCTTAAGTCTTTCATGTAATATTTCAATGCAAATGAGAAAGTAAACGAAATGGGCGCTTACTAATAAATACATACATACATATGTTATATGTATATATGATATATTTGAATATATATATTTTTAATATTTTATTATACATACTGCCCTTTTGTGTAAATATAAATATTTTTCACTCTGTGACGTCAAATTTGCGCTTAGGGCTTTGTAGATATGGCTTTTCTATTTACTAATTGGTAGTGCAAATTCTTTGAAAAAAATAAATATATTTGCTTCACGCATAAATGGAACGAACCCGGAACCCTTTTTTCACACGTAAGACTTAATTTAAAAGCAATTGTGTTCTTATTAGATTTCAACATAATATTTTAAATGACACTTGTGGAGATGAGCTTAGCCAATGAAGTTGTTAAATGCGTTGTATTTAGGAGATGTATCAAAATTAAATTTATTTAACATATTGACCAAAGCTGGCCGCTTCTACTTGTAGGCAATTGCTTCCTTCAGACGATAATTTATTGACAGTACAAGTCCGAATTAAGAGTTTGGCCAATCAAATTACCTGCCCTCGCTGTTTGTCCCGCTCACATAGCGACGAGGGATATATGGATGGGGCGAAGTCGCTGGAGAAGAGGTGCAGTAAGCTTTTCCACGGTTGAGTCGAAGCTAGGAGGGAAGATTGGGGGGATAGTCTTCTGTAAGAAACTATTCGTCAAGCTATTAAGATAGTTGTAGAATTACTGCTCCGAAATGGAGATTATTTCAGGGAGATGAGCCTTCACTTCCATAACGGAGTGGCTATACTAGCGTTGAGCTCGCTAAGCGCTAAATGTTAGTCAAGGAGTGTCTGTCCTCAGTATTAATAGCATCAAGCTATTTCATTATCAAACTCGTTCGGGTGCCTGGTCACAAAGGAATCGTTGGAAACTGCAAAGTCGATGGGCTATTAAGTGAAGCACCCACGAGTCGGATCTCCGTTGTTCTGTTGCGTTCTAACACTGAATACCTAACTAAGCTGCATGTTGATCGATGGCCAAATCGTGTGCGATTGTAAGATCCTTCGGGCCTAGAGTAAAACGCAGGATATCTATTTAACTACTTGCCATTTGAAAAGTCCATTTTGCAGCAATGGCGTTCTAACAGGAAACTATCTGATAGGCATTCATCTTGTAAGGCTAAAAGTTCCGTCGGATGCAAATTGTTAAAGGGTGATGAGGGTCTTTATGATCAATTTAATGGGAGTTTTAGGTACCACAACTGACCGGCGTTATAAGCTGTCCAAGAAGGATCCCTGTAATATCGAGCTTGTTTTTGCATCCAGCCTTATTTAAATGATTCCAAACGGTTTTAAATGCCACGTTTATATCCAATTCAAACAGTGCTTACATGAAGGACGGTACGACTCGACCATTTTCAGTAGTGATATTTTCGACAATTGGCGTTCCAGAACGTGGTGCATCTTTGATATCAACATTTATTATAAAATTTGTGTCCTCACCCACTAAGTTTATTGAAGTCGGTGAGGCATCTTATTGAGCTCACCGCGTTTCTGTATCTTTCCTTATCATATTCCATTCATTTCCCATTTAAATCTCATCTGCTGCCATTTATCAAAAGCATCTATTCAGAGATTTATTCAGATATTCAGAAAGCCCACTTTGGGGCCACTGCACTGTCCATCATTCATGCTAAAATTTCTTTTTCGTTTCGTTAAGCCCAGAAGATAGCTGTGTGAATGTGAGTTCCGGTGTATGTCAGTGCTTAATTCGCTGTGAACATCCCAGCTTAGGAAAGGGAAGACTAATTACTCCTTTAAACAAAACGCGTTTTCTAGTCACATATTGACTATTACTCGAGTTCTCCTAGTAGCTCAAATATCATGTTCATGTTCATAGTGATTCTGAACTTAGAGACCGTTACATAGAATTTAGGATAGTTAATAGTGGTAAATGCCTTTTGAATTTTTGAAATCCTTTTATCTTTTGAGCATTCTCTGGATATATTTTGTGGACCCAATATTTACATAATTCGAGTTCGAAATGAATTGATATTAATTCCTTACCTACATTTTCTATGTTGAATAATGTATAAAAGTTCATAAATTACGAAATTATTAAGAACATAAATGGTATTGTAAAAACAGAGTTGCCACTTGTTGTAAATTGAAATAAACAAAAAAAAATTTTTTAAATTCGCAATAAATTAAGAGCATTACTTGCAATAAAGAGCGTCTACCAAAGAGTAAGAAAAGACAATTATACACTCACGAATACAAAAAGAAAACCACAGATCTTCAAACGCGCAGCAAACCAACAGTCAAAGGCAGCAAATCGAAATTGAAATCAAAATCGAACTGTTGAAAAATCACTTTTGCTTTCAGTATGGCGTCTTCATGCTTGTTGTTGTTGCTGCATTGGCTTATAGTCTCTTTTCAATGTTATTACGTGCGTTTGGTTTTGTTATTGTTTATTTGCAGAGATCGCTTTTTTATTGTTGTTATCGCATTGTTATGCCTGCGGGCGAAACAAGAGCACGCTGGTGCCGACCATGCAGCTACGTGAGCATGTGAGTGTCGCGCGCACTTATGGAAATCGCTTTTCAGCTGAGCTCGGCCTGCGCTTAGCCACAGAGTTGAGAGCTTATAATTCAGCTCAGTTAAACATTTTCCTCATTCACTGTTAAGTGAGGTGTATATATATTTCTTACAAGTATTCTTGTTCGTTTCATTACAGTTTTCTTGCAATGCCAATTGCTGTCGTTCGTATGCCTTGAAGTTTTAACGGGTTAACGCAGCAGTGTCAGTCGTTTGCGATTATTCGCCGTGAACAGGTGTTAAGCATAAGCAGCCGCTTCCACAACGATTCGGCATTGATTGATTTGCGTGCAGCTTAAAAAAATAAATTAACGAAAACTAAATTAAAAAAAAATTTATCAAATACAAATTTTATTTTGCTGGAAAGCGTTTGTTTGTGCATATCTTTCCGCACTTTACATATCTCTGCTGTTCGAGGGCGCGCGAATTTTCGAATTTTGAGCGAACGTATGTGTGTTTAGCGTTTATGTTATGTCGCGAATTGATTGTTTGTTAAAATAATTAGAATTTTTGTGTTCATGTGCGAATTGCTGAGAATACTGACTGGTTAGTCAATTTAATTGCGTATGTGAGAGAATTCAATAAAAAGCAAATGATCGAAGTGAGTCGTGAATAAATAGAAATTAATGTATATATTTATAAAAACAATTAAAAACATAATATAAAAAAGTAAATGTAAGTGCATATAACTTAAAGTAAAAATGTTAACTGTAAAAAAAAACCACATTAATAACAATAATAAATATAATATACATAAATTGAAGAAACATATCAAACGACTTGTCAAAAACAAAAAATATATAAATAATTGTAAAGACATATATAATAAATATTATACAAAAATATAATTTTTTCACTTAAATATTTAAAAAAGTATTTTAAAATTTTTATTTTAATATATTTTTTATTTACAATAGTTTATTTTTTTTACGAAAACTGATTAAAATATAAAAAATAAATATTTTAGAATATCTCATATTTGTAAAAAAATTTTAGTGAATTTCTTAAGTAAAAATTTTGATGAGAAGCGTTCAAGTTTTAAAAAGTCTTTAAATTAGATATCGAACTTGTAGAATATAAAATTAAAAATTTTACAGTTTAAATTTGCTGCTAAATTTCTACAAATGTGTAGAGATTTAAAATAGTAATTTGAAATGAAGATGAGTTTTCCAAGTCCAAATAAGTACACTTTTTGTTAAAAAGTTAATTTTTTATATACATACATATATATATTATTGCACATCACTGTATATGTATGTATGTTCGTGCACCTTGTCGTTCCATTATTTAATTTATTTATATACTTAATAATTTTTTAATTTTTTTGATAATATATTATATTCATTTAATAAATTGTAGCATAAAAAATAGGTAAATGCAAGTTCGTTGCTTAATTCTTTTGTGGAGTAAAAAATTATTAACACAATAAATAAAAATAAAAAACAAATTGTTTTAATTTGAAAAATAAATAACTAAAGATTGTTTTTTGAAAACATAATATAAATATAAAATTAACATTAAAAAATTTTAATAATTTTCTAATTAAAGTGAATTAAAAATTTATTTTTTAGAATATAAAATAATGAAAAAATACAAATAGAACAAATTATAAATTATCAATTATTTTTTTTAAAGATATTAAAAGAAAACATTTTTCAACAATTTCATTTTTGAAAAAATTATATAAAAATAAAATTTGCGCATATTTTAATTTTTTAATCAAACTGAATTAAAAATTTAATACAAATAGCATACATAACATAATCAAAAAACAAAAATTATAAAGTATTAATTACAACAATTTTATTTTTGAAAAAATAATATAAAATTAAAATTAATATATAAAAATTAATAATTTTAATTTTATTTTAAATACAGAATAAAGTCACATACAAGTAAAGTAAAAACAATTTTTTTTATAAAAATATTTAATTTATAAAATAAAAAACTATTTTTATTAAAAATTATTAAAAAATAACATTGAAGATAAAATATATGTATAATAAAATAAGAAATTATATAAAGACAGTTAAGACACTATGAAAAATATAGAAATTTTTAACTTGAAAATTATATTGAAAGTAAGCTAAAATCAAATTAAATATTAAACCGTATTTCCAAATTTTGAAAATCTAACTATCAGCGATTGTAATTTAATATTAAAAACTTTTTTTAATAAAATAAGTATTTCAAATGCCTATAACAAATATAAAATTAAAGTAGTTGAGTATGGAAAACATGCAAAAAATATTAAATAAATATGTTTTTAAAATATAAACATACTAAATTATTAATCAAAGTTATAATCACAATTTTTTACAGAGAATACAAAAAGTGTAAAAATATTAAATATACAAAACTAAAAATCGCAAACTAAATACAAACACTTCCAACCCCATTTCGAAGTTCGTTGCTTGAGTCTTTTGTATTAGTGACAACCTATAACCTTACAATATCAAATAATCAAATACAATAAAAGTGAATAAAAGCGTGAATTAAATTGAAAATAGTATTGATTTTGTGTGAAAATGCGCCACCACACGCTCTGCTGATACCGTCGATAAATCGATAGCGCGAAAAAACACCGAGTGACTAACGAAACACAAAAATAAATGGCGTTAACAAATTTCTCGCTGCCCTTTGGCGCACTGACGCAACAAGTGCCCACATGGGGTGCCACCCTGCCGCCACTGCACCCCGCCCACCAGCTAGCTGCCAATACCAACAATTTACTCTATTCGCCGGCCGATCATCAGCAGCAGCAGGGCGACGACGCCGCACCGCCGCCGGAGTCAGATTTCTACAAAAACAATCCGTATGCGCCGCCACAATTGCATCAGCAGCAACAACAACAACAGCAGCAGCCGATACGTCAATCATATCAATACAATAGTAACAACAACAATCACAATATACAAAATAATAATCGGCTGAAAAGCAGCAACACCTACTTGCCGCCCATACCGCCGCCCGGTGCGCGCAACACACAATTTAACAACCACAAACAACAGCAGCAACAACAACAACAACAGCATTATAGTCATTTCAGCATAAATCAGCAACAGCAGCAGCAACAGCATCATCAATTACAACAACAACAAATCAAAGGGAACAATGTCGCCTTCAAGGCAGCCACATCCGTTTCCACCGTAGCCTCGGCCGCTGCGGCAGCCTCTGCCGCCTCCACTTCGACCAGAACCTACGGCGAAGGTTCTTATAATAATTTTGGCGCTGCAGCACCTCAACAGCCCCGCCCACAGCAGCAACAAAAGCAATTTTATAATTCCTATAGTCATAGCACTTCCTCATTTGTTGCACAATCACAGCAGAAGACTCAAACGCAAACAAGCCAACAAAGCTTCGGCACAGCACCGGTGACCGAAGCACCGCAACCAGCAGCGGTTTATGGCGCAGCACCAGCACCAACGCTGCGCAACGTAGATGAGGTGAATGGTGGTGGCAATGATAGTGTTGGTGATATTGGTGGTGATAACGATACTGGCAATGAACCGTATCCGCATCGTCCACCCGGCTTCACGCGTGTTCAGGCCGGACAGGGCACACGCACACAGGTGCATGCTGTGCTCGACTACGATGTTGAGGAGGGCGAAGATGAGGAATACTATGATGAGGGTGATAAAGGTGAGCGCCACTTAATATGCTAAAATTATATGGATTATTTAAAACTGATGTTTTGAAAATAGAAAAATAGTACTTTTGCTATCATTCTATGGACCTCTGAGAATTTATCTTTTTATTTCCTTGGGAACATCAACAAAATATCTATTTTGACGCTCTATAAATACTGACTCTTTCGTTCAATATTTATTTTGTTTTGTCTTTGCTAAGTCTAATGTTAAAGGTGCAGGCTTGCTATCTTGTACTTATTAACATGTATTTTACAAGATATTTTGTCTGATAGGAAAGTCGAAAAATTCAGACGAGCTTCTGGTACAGTCAAGCCACAGCTTAACTTCCGATCGTTTTGGAATATTTCGCAATTTTGTTTGAGTAAAATTCTAATACTTTTTAGCTGACCTTTTTTGTATACTGAGCAACTGTTTACAGATGTAGTGATGAATTATGTGAACAATGCTATCAGCACTTTTCGACGTTTTCAGTTAGATTATTTTAATTTGGATCAATGAAACTAATGAGCTTACTTTATTAGGTAATATCTCCTTCAAGTATGGTTAAATAAGATTCGAGTATATTCAAAGTATTACAGATTTTCAAATTTCATCACAATTTATATTTCTTCATATAGTTAATCGCCTAACCATAATTATATACACGAAAAAATACTACTGTTAGATAGTACGGTCAATGTAAATTCGATACATTCGAATTATGACCTGAATGGATTCATTTTATTGCTTTAAGTTTTTCACGTTAACTTTTTCCATTCCTATGTCATAAGTGATTATTTTCACATTCAGCGTAAATAACATAATTCTTGCACCGCCAAGCCGTTCCTTCATATATGTATTTCGGGTGGTCTGAAAATATTGCGCTGTGATTGATTTACCGTTATTTTTGTAAGAATATTTTACAGAAGCCTTGAGTGAGAATTGTGATTTTACATTGAAATTTAGAAATTACTGTTAGAGCATTACAACCACTTTTGATGGAGTAATTGCATATCATTTTTAGTATAGTGTGTACTGGGTGTAAAGATGGGTAAAAATACTACTAAAAGAGCAATTAACTCTGTAAGTTATGCTTCGAACTGTTTGAGAATAGGAATAATTAATCACCAATTCATTAAAAAAGTCGTCGAAATTGGTCCAAACCTTTTCTAATAATAACTGTCTTTGACTCGAAAGTGGTATAACCGCTTTTTGCAATAATATCAATACTTGTTTTTTATATTTTAGATCAGTTTTACTATTGTGAATGGCTAAATATACAAATTATTGTCGAAAATAATAATACAAAGGTTGTTTTTATCCAAAAACTGAATCCTTGAAATCAATTAAAGTTTATAATAAACAAAACTAAGTGCTTTTAAAAACGTTTTTTGTTGCGGAAAGAAGAATTTCTCCATCAAAGGAAGAAGTGCAGTACAACTAAGTATGCGTTAGCGCATATGTGAGCGCAAATTTGTACGTCAAAAGCTAGCTGGCCGTTGGTTTGAACACCTGCTAAAATTTATTCGATTCACTACTATACAATGCTTGCCAAATCGAAGACAGCTAATATTTCAATACAAAAGTGGAAACTTTTATCGATACTTTATTCAGTATAGAAAACGAATGAAACAGTTAATTCTTGGCTTATCATTGTAAGATCAGGAATATACAGATATCTGCTAATCATGTCGACTTTAAAAGAGATATTTTGGTAAAGAGGAAAATTTTGAATTCAACTGAGCAGGTATATGACCTATGGTATAAAATAACAGCATACTCGAAATGTGCGCAATCGGTACACAATTTCACCCAGTAAGGGGTACTGATTTCATTTGCGAGGAATACCTAATATTTGGCTCCAACCGAACATTATTCTAAGTCTTTTGCTAAGAGTTTTTAAAGAATGTGATCTCAAAAATTGCCACAAAATTCTTAATAAATAATTCTTAGTACTAAATATATATATGTATATATATATATAAATATAATATATATAATTCTACCATAATGTCAATAATTCTACCTTTTATTATACTTTATACTATTTTTTATAATAACTCCTGAAAAATATTAATATTTATTATTTCGCTCTGAGCGCCAACGAATGTCAACGTTCCTTGGCTATTGTAAATCGAAAAAAAAACAAGAAACAACTTTAACTTTATTTGCAGCGAAGCTATAATACCCTTCACAAATACAAAAGATTGCTTACAAGAACTTGATTTTGATTGGCCAGTTTGTATGGCAGCTATACGCTATAGTAATCCGATCTCATTAATTTTTTTGAAGATTACACATTTGCCTTAGATAATAATTCATGCCTAATTTCTTGAAGATATCTCGGCAAATGGAAAAGTTTTTAATACATGCACTTGATTCCGATCGTTCCGTTTTTATTGCAGCTATATAATATAGTGATACGATATCAGCGTTTCCAACAAATGAGCAGTTTCTTAAGGAGAAAAGAACGTGTTTAAAATTTCAATTCGATATTTCCAAAACTGAGGGTCTAATACGCGTATCGACTTAACACGTCATGCTGATCATTTATATATATATATACTTTATAGGGTCCCCAACATTTCCTTCTGTGTGTTACAAACATCGTGCAAACTTAATATACCCTGTGCAGGGTATAACAATATTGTGTTATCCACTTTAGGCGTCCTATAAAGCTTCCAGATGAATCTCAACTCAAATACTAATGGAAAGCGCGTGGCATATGGGTAGGCGTGATTCACGCAACACTACAAATTCACACAGACAAATATTTAAATAAATTAAACAAATTTGCCTAAAAACTCGGAAGTAAAGTTGTTTGACATCTAAACGAGTTGAATTTTGCATTCGCGATAAAAAATATCAAACTTTTTAACGCTAAAATACTGCACAACCGATCGCAGACGTCGAAATATTTATTGTTTTTAATGTTTGTTTCTCTTCTGTTTTTTAGTAATACTACTAAAAAGGAGCTACAAAGCTAAAGACAAATATTTGTTGAAATGCGTGCTTTTGTTGGTTTTTGTTAAATATTTACTCTGAGGCGAGTGTTGAAGTTAACTGAGTATATTGAGTTACTCCGCTTTTGTTGTGTGTTTGTTTGATATTATTATTTTTTTTTTAATTATTTTTTGTTTTTATTTTTACTTTTAGCACTTTAACTTTTATTTCTTTGCTATTGTCTATGCTAATATTATTGCTTTTCTATATACTTCAGTACTTTGCCATTCGTGCGCTCTTTGTGATAAATGACAACGCATAGACAGCTTTTGTTGTTATTTACTTGTCGAACTTAAACGACTTAGATGAATAGCGCTGAATGAGCTGATGGAAGTGATAGCCGTTCTACAAAAACAATAAAAGTGGTTTATGCTAAAGGTGGGAAAAAACATAACCCAGTAGGCACTTTCGGTAAGTAATAAGGCATTACAGATGGGTTAAGACTCCACAAAAAAAAAGTTAAAAACGAGATTGCCTAAAATGATCGCTCTTCAGCAAATCTATTAGTGTATTTTAATCATTAAAAAACAAGCTTTTTATCTTTCGGACAAACACCAAAGCAAAGCCAAAAACGTCAGTTATATATATATGTATGTTTGTATAAGGCGGCTCTAATTCGACTGAAATTTCTAGCCGCTAATGACTTTTTCAAGTTTGAAAACAAAAAAAAGTCGCACGGGATCAAATCTGGGGAATACAAATTTTATTCTAATTCGACCACTTTTGCAAAGGCGAATGTATGAACAGATGCGGTTTATGAGGAAGAACCAAGTTTTTTTTCTGCAAATGGTTTTTCGTGTAGTAGAACTCTTTGATCGTTTTCTCTTTTTCTAGGTAGTAAATATACATCACATTTCATTAATCTCAGAAATCGGAGGTCATCCCCTTTCCGGTCGTTGTGACTGTGTTCGCCTACAAACTCCACTGATTCGACTATTCATTGGACCTTGGCGTGTACCAGTGAATCTATGTTTCCTTAAAACTCCATTGGTTTGCGCTTGAACACCGTCAAATACTGCTATGAAGCCAGCTCATGGTTGCTCTAATTGTTCGCCGTGATCAAACGCGGCACCCATCAAGCTGACAACTTTCTCAAGCCCAATATTTTATTCATGAGGGTTTTTGAGGTGTTTTCTATCCCACTACCACACTCCCACTCCTTCAATCAGCGGTCTTCCAATACGAAATCATGGATTTCTGTTACATTATTATAATCGGTTTCGGAGAATTTGAGCGTGGCTTATCAAAAAATCGACATGTGACCAAAGTAAAACTCATCAAACTAACTTTTAACGGTCACCATCGAAGCAGAAGAGCCAACGTAAGCAACATATGTACAAGTGTTCGTGAAATTGCCTTCCGAAAACAAGAATCAAATCACTAATCGGTATTGCTCTTACTTCTCCACGCGGTCAAAACAAAACTACCACTTTGATCTGACTGATTTTTAACAGCAGATATTTACAGTAAATGTACTACACGATAGTTGTAGTTCTCCTGTGATAGTTGAGCCATCGGGTAGTAAGGCTAATTACTAATTAGACGACTCTCGTAGATGATTTTTATTCACGAGAGTTAGACGACACAACTCGTTATAAAAATGGTAGGTGTGACTCTAAACCGAAATTGCCAAATTCAAATTTATCTTTATACCCTACTCAGGGTAATATACCCTAGCCACGATGTTTCTAACACCCAGAAGGATACTTCGAAGACCCTATTAAATATATATATATACGAGTAAATGATGAACGGGACGAGCAAAGTTTATTTAGTCCCTCAGTTTTTGAAATACCGAACTTAAATTTTACAGACTCCTTTTCTTCCCAAGAAGCTGCACATTTCTCGTAACCGTCGATAACGGATCACTATATCATAAAGCTGTCAGACAAATGACCAATCGAAGTCAAGATAAGGATCTTCATAAATGATATTTTTTCGTTATTAAGTAAGCAATAAATCTTGAAAGAAGTAGCAAGTAGTAGTAGCTGTTTTCAGATATAGGTACAT